TTGGTTAAATGATGATGGGGACATGGAACTAGATTTTGATTCTGATCCCGAGGTTCTGATCATCCCTTTGCTTCATTCGTTTACTTTTGGATCATATTGGATACGGTGTTACCGTAAATCTTATTCTTGCAGGATATTTGTATTAATGGTGACAAAGCACTTGGCAGAAAGAAACGAAATCAGCATGTTGCTAACCTATATCAGCACTCTCTCCGTGTAAGTATAGATTTCAAATTTCAAATTTGACTATTACAATAAGTTTCTCGTCCTTAAATCCTGGCCTGGTTTCATGTTCCACAGGCATATGCATCAATCCTGTATAGGCAGCTACCACAGTACTTCAGAATAATTTTGTGTGGACGAGATGTTGAGCACCATAATATTGCCAGTGATCTCAAATATCTTCAGTTTATCAAGTATATGCCGCAAATTCATGGAAATAAGGAGGTTTGTGCTGTCTACAATGCCACCGTTCCTACTACCATGCTGATTTTTAGTTGCTACTAATTGCACCCTGTAATTTATCAGACGCATCTGACTTAATTGCATCACATCAGTTTCCTCTTTGCTTTTCTCTCCAAGTTAATGTATGGTTGACTGATATCCTCAAGTTCAAGTCGTTAATCGTTATGAATTCTCTCTATAGTCTGTTTTCGGAGGGCTTAAGATGGAGCAAATTAAACAGATTGCATTTTTTCTTCTAGCTAAAAGAGACAACATGACCATGAATAATAGAGTATTATGATGATGAAGTTGGCTGAGTTTTACTTTCAGTAAAACCATGTCTTAAGAACAGAGCAGTCATGTCTTGAAATGATAGTTATAGCCCAAAAAGTGTGTCACGTCTCTTTTTGAGAAAAAGCTTGTGTGATTAAAAGCCCCATCTGATCCTAATCACCCACCCCACAAGTGTTTGTCCAAGTGCATGTTGTCTTTAGCTTTAGGTGGTGTGCGGTGCGCATGTGTTTTGTTAGTATCTAAATCCAATGGTTCTACCGTAGTTGATTGCTAGCTTCTTTGTTCAGGTTGAAATTATTACCGCAATAGGGTTTCTGAAGGAAGCTCATACTCATGGTTTCAATATCTACCATCGGAATCGTCTGATACTGGTAATTTTCTTCTCTTTTATTGTTAAACAGGTTATCTGATACAAATTCACTAACCTTTTCTCTGACTTGTTTACTTGTCGAGTGCCACGCCAGGATTTTTGTTTGCAAATTTGCCGAGAGTGAATGAAACTATAGGCCATTTGCATAACTTTTATTAGTCGGTGTATGTTATCTTGTTCCATACTCCTGGAAAAGAAAGTCAACTTGTTGTTTACCACTTATGCTTTTCTTATTTATTAATTTTTGGCAGCCATTTTGGCGTGTACTTAGAATTGGGACAAACAGTACTGGAAGAGGAGTTGTCGGTGAGAACTGCACTTATCTAGACTAGTTCATCAAACAGTTGTATACGTACAGTTGATGATGATTTATGTGAAAGTATCATGATTGTAGGTGTCCTGGAACCAGATTATATTCAGCCTACTCACAATAAGCAAGATTTTGAGAAAACTTCCCTCTTCCAAAAGCTTGAAGATCGTTTAAAGCAAATGACAGTAGAGTACTGGTGAGCCACCTTTTACATTGTTGGGTGTATTTTTTTATTTTATTTTATTTTATAAATTTTGCCACAGCTAGGAATGGGAGGGGCGCAAACTCACATACACGGGTAGCATGGGGATTGGATCACTTGGGAGCACACAAAAGACCTAACATCCCATTGGTTATTGTTTAAAAATAAATAAATAAATAAATATGTTGAATTGCACACGAAATAGTAAGTATACTGATAGCATTGTTTTTTTACCAAGGAAAAAAAATTACTAATAGCATTGTTGGGCTTTTTTTTTCTAGTTCTTTATTTCTCTATTCCCTGTTTAGCTTGTTTCAGTTCTTGTGCTTAGGCCTCAGATACAATGCTTTTAAAAGAAAAACCCCATTTTGCCCAAATATATCATTTACGCAAATCACATTTTGCCTAAGACGCAAACCCATAACCCTGAGCCCAAAAACAGTTCATTGTCCAAGAACATAAATGAAACTGGGCGTCTCGTCTCAGTAGTAGCAGTATACTGAAGAAGAAACAACGACTTCGAAGATGAACTTATTCTTCCTCGCGCGAGAAGCAGGCTGGCCTGTGGAAGTATTTTAAGTATTAACTCTTGGTTTTGAATTTTTGGCTGTTGCATATATAGGGTTGTTCTCATTTCTGT